GCGCCCTCTGCCCTTGGCCACCACCTCGTCCTTGGCCATATCGATGATCTCATCAGGGATGTGCAGGTACTTGATAGTGATGCCGCGGACGTAGCACTCGGGCATCCGCCAGAACTTGTCCCCATCCCGGGATGTGTAGATGATCTCCCGCAGGTAGATGTTCATCCAGTTGTCACAGCTCACCAGGTGCGCGTTGTACGTCTCCGCATTCTTCAGCTCCACCAGCACAGGGTGATTCTGGACCGTCTTCAGCAGCGACAAGGGGAGCATGATGCCCATGCGGACTGGGAGTCCTTGATCTTTTGCAGCAAATACCTCAAGTCCTCCTGGCTTTCAGCAAGCAAGGTTGTGTCATCTATATAATGCAGGTTGTTTATGAATCTTCTTCTGATCCTGATGTAACATTCTTCTTCCTATACTCTAGCTTCTTGAATGATTTGCTCAACATACAGGATACATGGGTATGATAAAGGATACAGCCTCAAGGCACACCTTTCTTTATTTTAAACCATGCCATTTCCCTTGCTCTGTTGAGATAATAACATCTTGGTCTAGTTTCACACTGCATAATTTACCATTCTGGGATTCTTATTTCTCTCAAGGTTAGGCATAATTTATTATGATCCATACAGTCAAATGCCTTCAGTAGTCAATAAAGCAGAGACATTCTTATTGTATACTCTGCTTTTGGCCAATGTCCACCTGACATCAGCAGTGGTATACCTTGTGCAATGGCCTCTTCTGTTTTGGAGATTATACTGAGAGATGCAAATCAAAACTTCAGTAAGAGGAGATTAGCAGAGGGATGGCAAGGTGTAATGAGAATTTGATGAGATAGGAATTTATCAATATCAATTAATTATACAAAATACAATGTATATGAATGTTAGTGTTGTTGCTGTTATGTGTCATTGACTTAGAACTGACTCACAGCTGACCCTCCACTGGGGCTGTAAATTACACTACAGGTGATGTCTTCTCTTTCTCTTGCATAGCTACTGGTGGATTTGAACTGTTTGCCTTTGAGTTAGCAGTACAACTACCTACCACTAGGCCCTCAGAGTTCCATTACTAGATAGTTACTGTTGTTGTTATGTGCCATCAAGTCAGAAACAACTCATAGCTGACCTTCCAGCATCTTTTCAGAGGTGGTAAATTGGCCAGGAGGAGATTGCCTGTCTTTCTCTCATAGAGCAGCTAGTAGATTCAAACTTTCTGCATTTGTGTTGGCAGCTCAACTCATTACCCTCTAGGCTACCAGATTTCCTACAAAATAGTAGACATATGTTAATCCTGGTGAAAAGAAATGCATAGTATACAATATGAGGGAAATCAGCACAATGTGACAGTGTAAAAAGAGCAAGAAGGGTCATGTAGGGATGACCATACCTGATCTTTCCCAACTTCACAAAGGGAAACTGTCCTTGTCAATAGCATCAACAGCACAGATTCCCATGAGCTTAGACATGTCTCCCACACTTCTCTACCTCTCTCTACTCATCTCCACACCAATCTTAGTGCTTGGCTGGGTCCAAAATCTGATGCAACACTTCATAGAACCAATTGGAAGAGTCAGAAGGTTATAACCTGGGTTAGTACCAGAATGAAGTCAGGACAGTTTCCTGAATGTGCTCACAGGCACCTCAGTCTTGAGCCTTGCGGCTTTAGTCCAGTGTTACAAAGGACTAAGTCCTGCCAATATTGGCTCCCCACTCCAGTTACCCAACAAACTTAAGCAAAGGTTTTTAGCTTATCTTTGATTCTGGCTGGGGCAGGGGCATGGTGGGTAGGGGAAGCAGTCGCAAGGTAGTTCCCTCTCATGTTGGTTAGATGGTTGGATGATGGTGTAGCTGGAGCAAGAATTTCTGGCCCAAAGCACATGCTATATTCTCCTGCTGCTGCTGCTCCTGCTTCTTTATTGGTGGGGAAGATCTAATTCTGCTATTGGATCCACTCAATTTAGTGGTGAGACTAGCCAATTTCCTTGTGGAAAGGCTAACCACACCCTATTCACACATTCCTATCTGTTCACCTGACAAAGTCAAACAATGGCATAGTTAGAGACTTTTTAGACATGTCAAAACATCCAATGGGGTTGAGTTTGAAATCTAAGGATCGTATTCTCAAGGGACACATAGGTCAATGAGCTATTAATTTACTATGTACACAATAAAATGTTGAGAGAGTAAAAGAAAGGAAGGAACATTTGGCAACAGCAATTAGAAAGTCAGTACTTGTGGGAGATTGTGTGTTAGAAGAAAATTGAAACTTAAAAGTTATCTACAGTTACTCAAGATTTTGGGAGAAAAAAAAAACCCACTTCAATCATTTCAACAGGCCCTTTAAGAGATAATTTCTTAAATGTGCAAAAATAAATAAATAAATGAATGAATGAATGAATGAATGAATAAATGAATGTATGTATGTTTTCATATATGGCTTACATTGAGGGGGCAAGTTTAGAATCCACTATACTGGAATGAGAAGTAGTGGAAGTTTACCCCACAGTAAGTTGCCCGTTAACACAAAGGTGGTGCCTATCTTCTGGTTCAAATCCACCAGCTTCTCCTTGGGACAATCTTCTCCCTGGCCACATACATCCTCTCTTTGAAAACCCCCTGGAAAGCCAGTTATGAGTAAATATGACTTGACAGCAATGAGTTGAGGTGACTCCCTATTAGAAAGCGACCAGCTGATTGATTATATTACACTGGACTTGATTATTGTAGATTACGTTGTTGTTGTTAGATTCTGTGAAAAGCTTCTGACTCACCAACTCCATGTTCCTTCTGAGGATCCACTGAATTTGAATCATTGTCCTTTCAGTTAGCAACCAAGTGATTAACCATTATGTCACCAGGACACAAAGGCACCACTTGTCCATTAATATAAACTGACCTTCAAAAAACCCACTGCTGTCAACTGAAATGCAATTCTTAGCAACACTTCATCAGGTTCCTAAAGCTATAAATCTTTTTTTTTAAATTAAATTTTATTAGTTTTAATGAACATTTACAGAGATTTTGGGTTTTCATTCATTTACTGCTGCACTGTTTTCTCCACCCTCATCCCCAGTTCGTTCTTCTTCACCCCCCCCGCCCCGTTTTAATTGTCCAATTGCCACAGTGCTTGTCAAAGCCAGTTCTGATTAATCTCCTTTGTCAGTGTGTCCCTTGCCATTCCCTATCACTCCTCCCTGAGAGAGACTTCACCCTGATTCATAAGGAAACGGGGATGGCGTATTCTCTTAGCTACTTCCTGCTGAAAAGGGATGCTGTGGGTTTCAGGGTGAATGTCTTCTCTCACTACTCTAAAGGGCCCCTTTGGCAGTAGGAAACACATAGACTATTATGGAGATTGATTTTGGAATTTAGATGCACTGTTATCAATTGTGCTTAGCCGTACATGTTCATATCCCTGAAGATGTATAAGCTATAAATCTTTATGGGAGGAGATTTATTCACCTGCAGAGAGGTTCAGGTTTCAAGACATATTTTGGAGGCACATAGTTCAAGCCACAACAAGAACTTTGTTCATTTTTAATTGAGTTGTTAATATTTTAATAATTGACTAAAAGAGTTAGTTATTTATCAGATGTGTAATATGCAAACCTTCCTTGCTCTAATTGCCTCTCAGTTTAGCCTCATTCTAAAAAAATAATGGCTCACAGGATGTTTGAAAGCAAACTTACATTTGATTGTAGAGAAAGATTAAAGTGAAGAAAACCAATCCCATCTTGTCCATTCTCTTCACCTGTCTCTAGCACTAGTGAAAACCACAAATGTGGTAAACTAAGGCCAGATAGAAACTGAAAATCTTACAATTACAGCAAAAATTAATGACACAAAGACTTCTAAAATTGTAAAATGCTGGATTCAGGAACTGTTTTATAATTTCAATGTCTTCAAGTCTTAGCATGTGTTCAATACACTATCTACTCCACAAACATGTGTTCAATAAGCAAATAGCTAGGGGAAAAAGGACAGAAAATAGAAAATGTTACGGACATCAAAACGTCTCTTGTTAATGCTGTAGCTATCTAAGTCAGTCCTTGATTTTAAATATGAGGCTGAAGTTTGAAAATGTGGGAGTAAATTAGAAAGAGAGATGAAAGGAATAACTTCAAATTTAGATTTAGAAAACCAATGGTAAAATAAAGAAAACTGGAGAAATTGTGCCTTCAAAGATTTAGAGTTTTTAAAGCACTCATGCAGAGATTCCCAGACCTGTGTTGTTTTTTGTCTGAACAATCAAGGCTTCAGTGAATCTGCTGTCTTATGAACTATCTTATATCTCTCAATGTTTGAAGCAAAGTAATAAACAACAGACATTGTGGGGTACAGAAAGCTTAGTCCTTCCCTAAAGAGTTGAAAGGAAAAAGGAAGACTAACCTTCCCAGATAGAAGGATGTTATGTTTTAACTTTTTATTACGATTTGAGTGAAAGCTTCCAGAACAAGTTCATTTTCCTTTCAGCTATTTAAACACATTTTGTTTCAAGACAATGATTGAAATACAATGTAACCAATACTGTAGCCACTGCCTACATTTTACATTCCATTCATTCCTCTTTCCTGTGCTTTCCTGTCTTCTGAGCTGTGTGTCCTTGAGAAAATGCTGCCTTTTCAGTCTGGCATGGTTGATTGTTTAGATTGACTCCAAATTCTATTACTTTTCTGCCTTCACGACTCAGGAGTGAGCTGGCTAATGTTTATTGGCGTTTTCTGATGTCTAGCTTTGCATGGTATTTGATTTTATTTCCAGTTGGAAAGTCCTGAACAAGGCAAAGCCTTAGTAAGAAAATTAAAGATGATTCATTTGAATATTCATTCATTCATATTCTTTGTTACCTAAACGTGGGCTTGTGAGTTGCTTTAACCATTATTACATTGTGATACAAGCAGCTTTTTGTGATTTGTGTACTCCAACCAGAAAGGCCTCTTAGTTGCATTCTCTACCTTCTTGGAATGATAATACCACAGCAGAAGAAAGTCCAGCTCATTTGGTCTCTTTGTGGTAAGAGCCCACATGGGGAGGGGCCTAGTTACCCCAACTGTCCTACTTCAGCCCCAACAGCCACTCTAGATCAAAGTAACTTCATGAGGGAGCCCAAGTGAGATTAGCAAAAAACCTTTTACCTAATGAAAAATTGTCACACAGTCGTTTTAAACAACTGAGTGCAGACATCTGGTATAAACAATAGATAAGTAAATGGCACATAAGTTAGCCCAACATTAAAGAGCAGGAAAATATACACTTAATAAGACAAAT